GGTATTGTACTTGCCCGAGATTCAATCGTCGGTATCCCGATACCTTGTTCAATCTCGTTACCGACAAGTCTCTTTACTCGTTCCGTAACACATCATCCCGTGATTAACTCCTTGGTCACATTGTGCACATTATGATGATGTCCTACCGAGTGGGCCCAGAGATACCTCTCCGTCACACGGAGTGACAAATCCCAGTCTCGATTCGTGCCAACCCAACAGACACTTTTGGAGATACCCGTAGTGCACCTTTATAGCCACCCAGTTACGTTGTGACGTTTGGTACATCCAAAGCATTCCTACGGTGTCCGTGAGTTGCACAATCTCATGGTCTAAGGAAATGATACTTGACATTAGAAAAGCTTTGGCATATGAACTACACGATCTTTGTGTTAGGTTTAGGATTGGGTCTTGTCCATCACATCATTCTCCTAATGATGTGATCCCGTTATCAACGACATCCAATGTCCATGGTCAAGAAACCGTAACCATCTATTGATCAACGAGCTAGTCAACTAGAGGCTTACTAGGAACATGGTGTTGTCTATGTATCCACACATGTATCTGAGTTTCCTATCAATACAATTATAGCATGGATAATAAACGATTATCATGAACAAGGAAATATAATAATAACTAATTTGTTATTGCCTATAGGGCATATTTCCAACACTCAGGCCCAGACAACGAGACGGTCCAACGGTCCATCCAGCGCGCCCGGTATTTGTTTAAAAAAACAATCTCCCAGCCAATCAGATTGCATCTCGCGGATCGCCCCTCCTCCCCGCAGATTCCTTCTAGAAGGGTTAGATCGACGGCCTTGATCGCCGCTAGGGTTAGATGAACAGTCCTTATTCAGCGCTAAGGTTAGCAGGGTTTGGAAGGGGTTTGGAACAGTCAAAACTATGTTTGACCAGATTTCAAATGAGCATAATAAATTAAATAAAAATCAGAAAAATAAAAAACATACGCATATAGTCTTCTTATGTCATATACTAACGATTTAAGTTGATAAACAAGATTTACATACATTTAAACGATAAATTCATGTGTATTGTGTGATATCTTGAGTATCTCAAACTCTCTTGTATGAAGTGAAGAGAAGTGTTTTGGGAAAATGAACATGAAAATTTCAAAAAACTCATCACAGCTTCATTTTAGAGTGACTAAGAAGCTAGCCATGAAGACCTTCTCGTACAAAAACACATAAATTTACAGGGACCCTAATTGCAGTCTGGTAAAACCCGACTGAACCAGACGCAATCCCTATCCCGTCGGCTGCAATCCCTCCTCCGCCCCGCCGTTGCTAGCGCTCCCCAACTTGGTCGTTTCTCCTCTTTCTTTTCCTCTCCACCATGGCCGGCTGTTCGCGGACGTGGCGGGTCGCCGCCGCGCAATCTCGCGCGTCATGGCGCGGAGGCCGGCAGCTGCAGTCGGCCCCGCCTTCGGGCCATGGCGCTCGAAGCAAGCCCGCGAACACGGCGGGCGGAGCCCTTAGGACGGCTTCCATGAGCTCCATGCCAGTCTTTTCCGGGAGGCGGATGCGAGCTCGTCGCCACAGAGCCGCGGTGGTGGTTAGAGAAGAAGGCGCCGCTGCAAAGGACGAGCATGCCCTTGCCAAAGCGCATCGCAAGTCTGCTGAGAAGTTCTACCTTGGTGTCGATGAGTGAGCCGGTTGATTTTGGTTAATTTGTACTTCCTCAGTTCGGAAGTACTTATTCAAAAAATGAATGTATCTAAATGTATTTTAGTTATAGATATATTCATTTTTATAACAAGTAATACCGAACGGAGGGAGTAGTAGGTAGTTCGCATTTGCGCACTACAAATTAACACACCACTTCCGGCCGATTTGTTGCTAAAAAATTGTTTCCGGCCATTGTGGATAAAATATTTATCGTGTATTAAAATAATATATTTTTTGCAGCATAAAACATATTGATTGTGTCCTAGAAAATCTTCATAGTGTATTAAAACAATTCGTCGTGTTTTTTTAAATGCTCATTGAGTCTTAAAAATGTCCATCGTGTATTAAAAATATTCATCAAGTGTTTTGACAATGTTCATCTTGTTTTCCAAATAAGCTCATCGCATATTAAAAAAATACCACGGATCAAAATAGGTCATAGTATATTTTTTCAGCGTTTATTATAGAAATGACCATTGTGCTTTAAGAAAACATCATATATTTTAAAAATGTTCATTGTATTTAAAAACAGGTTCGATGTGTACTTGAATTTCTTTTTAAGATCCAGCATCGCTCGCGTTCATTGATAATAACAGGAAGCAATGGAAAACAATAAGGTGGTGAAGGTCTTAGGACCAGAGGATTCGAAGATCAAAGAAAAAGGAGAACAACAGCCCCAGAAGCTGCAGCATAATACTCCATACGATCCATACTAGGCAGTGCAGCTCCGACTCTGACGGTGAACTACTAAGAAAACTAGCCAGGGGTGGAGTCACGGAGGATC